ATAGCTCTTTCTTCTGCTTGCTCAGGAGATATTTCAGATGCTACCAGGTGTTTATATAATCCAATTCGCCAATGTCCATAGGGAAGAGTTTGAATTCCATCAAGTAAGATCCAGCGTTTGTTATTATATGGATTTAACCCTATCTTATTTACCCTTTTTAGATATATTTGATGATCATAACTGCGAAGACTATACATGTCATGCCGAGTTAGTTTCTTATTTCTAAGATATTCTAGAAATTTATCATATCAAAGCTCTCTTTTGACCACACTTTTCTTTACATCCTTTGCCTTTTGGATACCGTGCTTCTTTTTAGGGTCTTCAGAATCTGGGTCATCAGGAGTTTTAGGATCATGCCCCGCTGGAAGGACTGAGTACATCTTTGGCTTTAAACATACTGTTTCTCCTATAGGTATGCCCTTTGTCTCATCCTTCATTAGAAATAAATCGCCTAAATAGTTAAGATCAAAAATGTCTGGCCTCTCTGCTCGATCTTTATAGATGTCATCTGTTTCTATCCACATAATGAGCGAGTCTGTATTAGTATAAAGTAGACGGGCCTTATCTCCATAGCGAGGCTTTATGTAACCGTACCAAAAGTTAAACATCATGGCCTTGCTAATATCGAGAATTGCCTGCCCTACATAGATTGGTTTGTTTAGAGTCACTGTGCTTTTTAACATGTGGACTGCTGTAATACCCCCTTCGAATACTTTAAAGCCTACATATAATGGTGAACTTGCTAGGTGCCTGATTTTTTTATCCTCTTCTGTTCGAAGTAATTCTACTCTCATATATTTATGGACATTTTCTATCTGCTTGCCGAAGACTGCATTTTTTTAGCTTATAATACACGACCCCAAACTCATCCCCATTTGCCTTGGCTATTTTGCATTTACGAATATTTTCCTCAATATATTCCTTCATCCATGGAGACTGCCTAAACTTGAGAGTGCTATGAATCTTTGTAACCTTCATTCCGAACTTCATATATGTCTGGAAAGCTCTGTAATGAACTATATAATTCTTCTTAGTAAAAAGGGTCTGAACTAGCTTTTCTCCAGATACATATTTCCCTTCTCCAACATTTTTATCACGCACTAATATTTCATTGTATAGACTAAGCCAGTTTTCTGGTATTATCTGCTTTTCTGGTACTAAAGGATAATCTGCAAAGTAATCATGCAAGTGCACTGGGGCTTCTAAATCAACTTCAAGTATATAGCCTATTTCTGTATCTGGTACAATACTTTGGATGTCAGGTACTTCCTCTGGACTTACCTTACCTAGGATTTCTGTAAGCATGTATTGGGTCATTGCACCTGAATATAAGGCGTTCATATCTTCATATAAGGCCCAGGACTTCGGCTTGCTGGGCTCATAGTCTGGACATTGTGGATTATTTGCTTTGGCATATCGATGACTTGCCATTGTCATTCCTCCACGAATTCCATTTTCAACTATCAGATACTCATCCATATCTGTCATGAGCTTAAGTTCTACCCCACTACTTTTGTATAGAGAATCGTTAAACATTCCAGGTGTAGAGACGTAGTGAGATGGATCTAGACCATCATCTTTGAGACACATTATGGTATAATTCATGAAAATATCCGCAAGTAAAAGTATATCAGTCTCAAGATAAAGGTCATGATATTCTCCAAAGTTTTTTATCTCGAATATTTGCCATACCTTTTGTGCATGTTCGTAATCCTCTTTACTAATATTTTGTTAACTAAGAAGTGAATAGAAATCCTTTTTAGACGGGAGGCTTGTTCTGTCGAATTTTTTCCATGCATTTGTCCAGTCATATGGAAAGACACCCTTTCGAAAAAGAAGCTTAATCTTGTCTATTGAATAGCCTTTTTCAGTAAAATACTTAACACTTAGAGAGAATTTTTTGATTTTCCCCTCTAGGCATTCAACCAATTTATCTAGCCCCATTCTCATATGCTGAAAGCTATCTAAGAACCGAAGCTGTCCTACATCCATGGCTTTGTACTTTTCTATATTCTCTGGAATGCAATTTAGCTTATTAGCCGTGAACTTGCTCACAACTTTTATAAGCGGATGAGAGTCATACCCTCAGAAATTATGACAGATAAGGGGCACTTTAGTTTCGAAAGAGCCTATATGCAACTTTTTATTACAAGAGTCATGAGCTGGGCCTTGGTACTTTCCATTTATATGATCATGATCTTTTACTTTTTGATTAAAGCTTCTCAGTATCTTTTCTGTGCCTCTTTCTTTTTAGGATGTTCTTTTTCCATGTATGATTCCCATTCTTTGATTTCTAATAAATTATGCTTTGCTTCTTCGAGTTTTTGTACTATCTCTGGTGCTGGTTTTAAAAAAGGTCCCTTGCAAATCCAGCATTCTGTCGCCTTATTGTATGCTTTAAGATCTCCTAGTGCCATTATCATTTCTGCAAGTACAGATAAGTTCTCCTGTATGTTTGCCAACTTCTCCTTGATTTTTGTAACAAATCTTTCAAGCGCATCTGGGCCCCTATATAAATCATGACTTATGATTTCATAGTTAAGTAAAC